CGTCTCCTTCTTTGCAGCTCTAGAGCGCGGGCTGCTGAAAACCCTGCAGAAGCTGGACGAGTATCTTCGCTCGCCGCTGCCCGATGAGATCGATCACAACAGCATAGAAGACGTCAAAGTTTCTAACCGCAAGTTCTTGGACGGGGACGAAATGACCCTGGCTGACTGTAACCTGCTGCCCAAACTGCATATAGTTAAGGTGAGTCGTGAAACACACCTGCAGGTGTTGGCATTAAACCACCAAATCAGATGTTTATTTTAAGAAGAGCGTACAAGCTGTACTTGAGGAAACTCTTTCCTCATGCTGCACCTGCAAAGGAGGGACTGGCTTCAATTACTGGAATAAATGAAAATGGTTCTCGTGTAATTCTCAGGCTAATAATCTGAATACAGGAGAACACCTGCGTGCATGCTCGGGCTGGTCGGATAGAAACGGCTCGTTGTTCGGAACTGAAGCTTTTGGAAATAAGCTTAAAGGTCCTAATATATCTCTACAAGGCAGTTAATTTTCTTAGTTTGTGATCCTTTTAGAAATTAATTTTCAAGAAAATACTAAAGCATTTTCCCACAGGTTATATATTAAAATGCTTTAGCAAATATTGGCGCATCATCAGAAGTTGTGCCGTTGCCACTCTATACTTTCTACTGTTCACTGCCCTGCTTCAAAAATTACCCAGCTACCCCGGCTCCCTTGGTGAATCTTAACAGTTAACCTTTAACGTGTCATATTTGTGGAGTTTGTGGAACTTGTGCATCAACAGTGTGATTGAATGACTCATGTCATTCTTTCAGGTGGTGACTAAGAAGTACAGAGGCTTCGAAATCCCCAAAGAGATGACGGGCATCTGGAAGTACCTGAACAACGCCTACACGCGCGAAGAGTTCACCAACACCTGCCCCAGCGACAACGAGATCGAGATCGCCTACGCAGACGTAGCCAAGAGGCTGGTCAAATGAGCTCCTCCGTCGCAACCGCCTCCTTCCACCCCCCCACCACCTCTCTATACTCCCCTGCACCTCCCCATCCTCGGCACCGGGACTGATGTGCTCATTCACCAAAAAGGAAAAAACAACAACTTTGGACGTCTTTTCCTTCTCTCCTCATCTAGAGTGAACTCATGCATGAACCCTTGGTCATTCATTTCTTTTTTTTCTTCCGGTCATTATGAAGGTCCGTTTAGTTGAATCACCCTCGCTCATGTTTGTCCCCTTTAATCGCTTTTTGTTTTTCATTTGCCAATGAATGTTGTGAGGCAACGGAGAAGCAGCCAGGCGTGCACGTCAGTGCTTGTCGATGCCTGATAAGTGACCTTCAAGCTGACCTTTCCTCCGTATGCAGGGGGAAAGGCCACACGCTGGTATTTCACTGTCGTCTGTTTAAATTTCACTGTTTCTTGGATTTCTGAAGACTAAGAAGCTT